TAAATATACAGTTACTGTATAAGGAAATTGAGGTTTTTTTCCCATTCATTTCATAAACAGAGTTGTCGCTGTGTATCTTAGTGCTCAGGATGCAGCAGTGAAGGAAACCATGCTTTTACCCTTTTGCATTCTATCAGTAAGTTCTAGATGATAAATGGGTGAAGACCAGCAATGGCCCTCTCAGATGAGCTGCTTGGGGGAACTGGAGAGATAGCACCCAGAGACTTCACTATTAGATAGAGTAGAGAACTTTCTGGATGGGTGCATTCTACTTGAAATCTGGGCAGTTTTTGTTTATTCATTTGTTCTGTACTTTGTGTTTTGAGACTGGGTCTTACTATGACTCTCCAGTCTGAACTGGGATTCTAGATCCTCTTGCCTCAGCCTTCCCAGTGCTGGGATGACAGGCACGCACTACTACCCCACATTCAAGCTGAAATTTGAAAGCATGAATGAGTCAGCCATGTAAAGCACTGGGAAAGAGGCCTTTCAGGCAGAGGGAAAGATTGAGTGAGTCTCTCAGTGGTGCTCAGGGACCTGGCTCCTCTGTCCTGTAATCAGTCCTCTGTTCTAGTTTCCGGTGTTGGCAACCTTTTATCCCTTTTAATTATATTATATTTATTATTATTATTATTGTGGGAGGTAGGGGTGCACGTGCCACAGTGTATGTGTAGTGTTCAAAGGACAACTTCTAAGAGTCTATTTTCTCTTTCCTCTGTGGGTTCTAGGGATTGAACTCGGGCTTGGATGGCAAGCACTTTAAAAAAAAAATATTTATCTAAAAACCACATAATTAGAAGAAGCATTTCATTACAACGTCATTGACATATTCAATAACTATTTCCAGAGCTAAGATGCATCTCTTTCAAAATTGGCCATAAATTTTTAGGTTTACAGTTGAATTAATACAGTTATACAATATTGAACTCAGTATAAACCCTATAAGACATAAAATTGAATGAGGTTTTAACCTTTAAAACAGATCTCCATTTCATTTTAAAATATACTGTTTCATACAGAAAAACTCATTTTTATTTTTATAAATAAACAATTTATTGAGAATTTTATAAATGCATATAAGGTGTTTTGATGAAATCCAAGCCCACTCCCTCCCCTCCAACTCCTCCAATATCTCCCCATCACTTTTTCCTGATAACTTCATGTGCTCTTTATTCTTCTTTGATTTATTTATTTTTTAATGGGGCTTTTGGCTACTCTAACATTCCGCCCTCTGAAGAGGTAATCCTAAAATCTTTTAAGGATTAGATAAAAGCTTCCAAATATTTTCAACATTTTTGGCCTTTGGAATGGAGCATGTTGCTAAGAGGCCCAAGAACATTGTGAGTTTTAGCCAAGAAACTGGATACTTAGAAAAACTCATTTTTAGTGCAACTAACAGATGTTTGCACATGCGCCTCTAATCTCTATATATCTGATTATTATTAGTCACAGTCGGTTACTTTCTGAGATCCTTGGCACCTGAGTATGGATATAAAGTCATCAAGTAGATGTCAATGGTAATGTTTTTCACATCTACTAATTGACATGGAACAAATTTTTATGCTTCTTCCTCAAATATAACTCATTTTTTAATCTATTGATTTTTTTGTATCTCATCTAGAACATCCCAAACAATCTTATTCATCTACATATTCACATCTCAAGTGGCACTCTCCCATAGCCTCCCTCCCCACTTGGAGCCCATATATTCTGTCATCCCTGTTACTGTCCACTGTGTTGTCAGTGCCCCCAGACGTTCCCCAGTGCTGGATGGCAAGCACTTTTATCCACTAGCCCTTGCTGGCACCCAAGTCTTTGTATCTGTGCACCTCGTTTTAGCAAATAGCATGATTGCAGCCCTTAATATTTTCTCACCCCAACAAACCCACCTGAGGCCTTGCCTTTCCACATGTGCTGACATCTCAGTGACCAAGGTGAGGAGGCTTAAACTCAATAAGGAGAACTGCCAGCAGGAACCTTACAGTGATTGGAGGAGAGCAGGGCAATCACAGAGGCTAGGGATGGGGAGGGCAGCTCTGCCAGCAGGGACTTCTGAGCTGAGCTTTGTATTCACAGGGATCCTCAAGTTTACATTTTGCCACATGTCTATCACACATAGACTGTCACCTCATTTATGTGTTTTAGGTGCTATGAAGGATTTAAGTACACCAGATTGGTGAGATGGTAAAGGTGCTTCCTGCCAAGACTGATAACCTCAGCTCACCCCCCAGAACCCACATGGTAGAGAGAACTGACTCCCACAAGTTGTCCTCTGGCCTCCACATGCATGCACACACATGAACACACACTAAATAAATGAATGTAATGAAAATTAAAATATAAGAGCCCATAAGAATAGTACAGATTAGAAAAAGATTTAAGAATAGCTTAGTATAAAATAAATGACTACACCATACTTTTTGCTTTAATATAATAGGACACATAAAAATAGAAAATGGCTCAGGCTGCTTTTCCCTTGAATAATCTAAATATGAAGAGGGTGAGTTTGAGGCAGGTTGCTGAGACCAAATCCTGGATGCAAATCCTAGATCTCTAATATCTTGGATATTAGATATTGCTGGTAAATTTAACGATGCTCTCTACATACACAGAGGAACTGTGCTGTGGGATAGATTACAACGGCCTTCCTCATACCGAATTTAGGTGAGATCTGGATAAGATTTTTGGACTTTGAGTTGATATTATAATGAGATGAGACTTTGGAGATCTAGGAATACTGACTCTATCTGGCATGTGAGGTAGACTGGGGTTACTGGGAGCCAGAGAATAGACTGGGATAGACAGGAGGGCCCCCCAAAGACATCCACATCCTAAACTCATGACCTATAAATATTATTGTCTGTGGTAAGAGATATGATTAAGGGCACAGACTTGAGATGAAGACATTCAACCCTGAGTCTCTCAAAGTAGAAAATGGAAGTGAAGGGCAATGAAGAGTGATGGGATGGAGGGCTGAACCTGCCACTGCTGGCTTTGGAGATGGAAGGGGGCAGAGTCAGGAGTCTGGGAAATACATCAACAGGTCCTACCCAGAACCTTTAGAAAGTGCCTTGATTAGCTGACTGTGAAACTGTCGGCTTCTGACTACAGAGCTGATAGGAAATTATAATAAATCTGCATTGCTTTAAACTACTGTATTGTGGTAACGTATTTATAGCCACGGGAAAAAAGCAATAGCGTCTTATTCCTTCGGCTTGCTTTTCAGAACTAGCTTTGTTAGTATGTCCAAATAACGTCTAACAATGTCTACTCTGTGGTAAGCAGTCAATCAATGATAAGTGCCACCTCAAAGATAAGAAGCTGAGATGCAAATAACTCTGAAATGATATAAACAACAAAATCTAGACAGAGACCTGTCTAGAAACTACTTTTTTCTTAACTTGTTCCACAAAATAGAAAGTGAAGGAACACTAGCAAATTAATTCCATGAAGCATGAAGACAGTATTATTCTGATGCCAAAACCCAGGAAAGATACAACAAAAAAGAAAACTACAGACCAATTTCCTTGAACATAGATGCAAAAATTCTCAAAAAAATACTTGTAAACTGAATTCAGGAGTGTATTAGTATCATACATTATGAACCAGTAGGCTTCATCCCAGAAAGGCAAAGTTGGTTCAATATATGTAAATCAACAAATGTAATATAACATATAAACACACTAAAGGACAGAAACCACATAATCCTTTTAATTGATGCCAAAAAGACATTTGACAAATTCAACACGGCTTCATGATAAAGTCTTGGAGAGGTTAGGACTAAATGGAGCATATTTTCAAAAGACTGCTTTTCAGTTGAATCCAAAGATTGCGTATCCTGATATCATGGGAGATAGTCTTTTGTTTTGTTTTGTTTTGTTTTGTTTTGAGACAGAGTCTCCCTGTAGCCCCAGCTGGCCTGGAAGTCACTATGTAGCTCAATCTCAAAAAGATCTGCTTGCCTCTGCCTCCCGAGTGTTGGGATTAAAGGCATGAGCTACCAAACTGGCTTCAATAAGAGATATTCTTAAGGAAGTTGCCTAAACCAGGGGCAGGAAACTCAAATGCATATGTGGGCTCTGCAGGTAACATAAATAGGTGAGTTTAGGGCTGCAGCAGACTGCAGTAGTGGCCCCTGAAGGAGGAGACCCTAGCTGAGCTGGTGCCAATGGAAATGTGACCCAGATTGGCAGTGCCAAATAGTTCAAAATTTTTTTAATATTTAAAATTTATTTTTATGTGAATGTTTTACCTGCAGGTATGTAAGTGTACCTGAGTGCAATGCCTGTGGAGGCCAGAAAAGGGCATTGGATCCCCTAGAACTGGAGTTACTGATGATTGTCAGCCACCATGTGGGTGCTGGAAACTCAACTCAGATCCTCTGCAAGAGCAGCCAGTGCTCTAAACTGCTGAACCATCTCTCCAGCCTAAGTTGTTAGGATACTTTACCTTCTTTTATAAAATTTCCAGTTTTCAAATGTTGGATACCAAGCCATATTTGGACACATGTGAACAAAAATACAATTTTCATGTAAAATGGTCCTTGTGTTGGCATTCTGGCTAATAGTGAAACTAAAAGAGGCCCCCGAGTTGCTTTTGATACAGCTCTTCGGCTTTCATATTCTCATATCATAAAAGCATCTTTTGGATAGGAACAGCTCAGTGGTGAGACACTTGTCTAACATGCAACAAGCCCTGAGTTTGATTCCCAGAAACATATACACACACCAACAAAAACCCCACAGACTAAAGTATCTTTCACATTGCTTTTGATAATCTATAAATCTATGAGCTATCATTTATATGGAGTTTAATATATGAGTCAGAAAGACAACTTCAAATTCTTCTCAAATCCAGTTTTTATTAAAGTTGTTTGGCAATTTTGATTGCAGAACAAAGGGAACACATCACACATGAGTTTCTGTTTTGGTCTGTAGGAAGTTTGGCCACATGCATATTTCTAAGCCCTCTGCCCTTCATCACCAACTGACCAACTGCCTTAAGTTTCCCTATTCTCCATAGCATAGGAATTTGTAAAATAGGGTAGAAAAAATATAATTCGGATTAAAAACTTTTCTTCAAATATTAAGAACATACAAAGTACATTAAAGACTTCTGTATTTAGTCTTCTCGGTATCAAAACAGGCATTTGATAGTTCTTGATATCTTGGTTTTGCTTATTGATAATTACAGTTCAGAGACCAGGGTATCTCCAAAAGCTTTTAAAAGGCCCCATTGAAGCCCCAAGTTGAGTTTTCTAATGAATTAGAGGACAGAAGAAGCAGGAGTGAGGGTGATTTAACCATTAAAATCACAAGATCTTTTTTCCTTTAGTGGGTGTTTTCTTCTGCATAGCTCGGGGCACTGTTTGCTAACTTAGCATCTGCCTTGCAGCAGAACTAAGTATGGGCTTATGTAAGTGTACGTTACTGAACAGCAAGGAGTGGGCAGCCTTCCTGTTCAGGGCAAACATTCAGAAGATCGGGACACAAAATCCTGCAGTGTTTGGTTCTCATTAGTTGTTCTCCAGTGAACCTGAAGTCGGCTGTTGGAAAGGAAAAGAGAAAGCTGTGTAACAATCCACACAGGAGTGAAGTTTGTTCTAAGCAGTCTTTGTTTTCCCAGCATGTATGAAAACTTGGCCATGCCAATAGAGCCTAATTGGTTTGTTCTTGTGATAAAAATATCCCTTAGACAAAAATAAAACAGCAGTGATTTACCTGAGGACTATTTCTAGCCTCCATTTTCCTGTATCATTTCTAGACATTCCACTTACTAATTAAGGACTAATTTATTTCACCAGAGGCAGAAGACTGCCTTACCATGTTAATGTTGGTTTCCTTTGAGATGGAAATGTTTGTGCCTCGAGAAGGAGCATCTTAATATATGGCAGATTCTCATGTGATTTAAAGAGCATCACGTCTCAAAGAACAAGCAAATTTGGCAGTCAAAACACAAGTTTCAGAATCATTGCAACATATGCAATTTGTTGGTGTCCCAGTAAAGATTAAGTGATAGCAGCAGGAATTAGACAAATAATAAAACTTTCATTCTTGTCTCCCAAATGGAGAAAACATTTTCTTTAGGCACGAACATACAACCTCGAAGTTTCTCAAGAAACAATTCTTTGCATCTAATCTTTAAAAATAAATTATAACTTGCAGTCCTTAATATCTTTCTTCAGTAATATTAAATGCTATAATTTATGTAATCTGTTAAACTTTCACATTTAATATTTTGGCCTAATGTATTTTATCAGTTTTAATAACATTTATGCTTTTTGAATATTCAAAGACCATAATTTATAGTGTTTAAATAAAATGTCTATGCTTATTCATCAAGAACCAAAAAATTATTTCCTGGGTTTTTATGCTGAGATCTCATTCAGGAATATTTAAGACAAGATGTTTAAATATTATTTTTATTTTAAAATTATGTATATGTAGCCGGGTGCGGTGGTACATGACTTTAACCCCAGCACTCAGAAGGCAGAAGCAGGTGGATCTCTGTGAGTTCAAGGCCAGCCTGGTCTACATAGTGAGTTCCAGGCCAGCTAGGACTACAGGGAGACCCTGCCTCAAAAAGACCCCCCACAAAATTATGTATATGTGTGTGTCTGTGTGTGGGTATTGTGGGTATATGCACATGAGTGCAGGTGCCTGCAGAGGCCAGAGGCATCAGATCTCCTTGCAGCTGGAGTTACAGGTGGTTCTGACTGCCTGACCTAGGAGCCTGGAACTGAACCTGGGTCTCTGGAAATAGGACAAGCTCTTAATTGCTGAGCCATCTCTCCAGTTCATTAAATAATATTTAGAAAAATAAAAGCACTGCATGCAGTGCAACATTACTTAAGTCACTTAAACCCAGAAAACTGTACTTACAAATGGAGTCCTGATTCCATATTTGCTGTGGAATGTCATGGTGACTTTGTTTTTATGGCCTGTTCTTTGATCAAAGGCATGGCACGTGTCAAAAGGTGGACTGTACAAGTGAAGGCTCACGGCAGGCTCTGTGTGGCTGATATTCTCTACTCGATGTAATCCAATGGAATCTGAGCAGTGTGACAGAGGAGGGAAAAGATGAGGGGGTCCAGATATTTGTGGAAGGTAAAACATTTATTAATCACCCACAATCTTCAGTAAGTTTTGATGAATACAAAATGAACATAAATTAGAATTAAACTGCTTGTTGTCAGTAAATGACACGCAGGTATCCTGCCCGAAAACCATCTCACATTACAGAAAAAGAATTTTAAAAAGATGCAATACAGAGACAAGGAAACCAGGAAAAAGGAAAGCATTAATAAAAGCTTGCAAGCTTAAAAGACAGATAATTTTGTAAAACACTAACTTCTATGCTACTCATGGGAAAAGCCAAGAGGGAAATTATAGTTTGAAGCTCTCAACTAGCTGAAGAATTGGCAGCATCAGACACTTCTAGAAATGAGAGTGAAGACGGGGGTAAACACACCAACTGGTTGAAAGCCCGTTTAGGAAGTAGTCTCAGATCACCTTCACCAATTCTCTGTAAGCTTTTCCTCCATAGAGACTTACTGTCTAGGACTAGAAAGAGCACAATGGTGAACTCAGGACTGGTAGGTACCAGGTGAAAACAGGTGAATGAGGCACATTTATACACGGAATGGTGAGATTCCTGCTTTCCCTCCCAGCTAGCTGCCATATGGTACTATTCCCTCCAGGCAGGACATGGAAGGCAGTTCTCCTTCAGGAAAGTGTCTGCCAAACCCTCAGAGTGACAGGCTGGTGACAAGCCTTACCCTGTGTTCAGAGTAACAAATGAACTTTCTTGTCTCTGGTTTTTATACATGAATACACAACCAAAGCATCACAGATTTTAGCCTCTAGCACAGCAGAGGCCAGAGGAACCTAGAAAAGGCAAGTTGAAACAGGATACTGAGGAAGAGACTTGGAAGTCTATTATTAAATCATCAGGGAAATACAATACCAAAGCGGGAACTAGAAGAATCTAAAGAACTTTATTATTTAATTAATTAATTAAATTTAATTTGTTTATTTAATTTATTTATTTATTTGAGACAGGTTCTCACGTAGCCCAGGGTGACCTTGAACTTCTGATTCTTTTGTCTCCACCTCTCAAGTACTGGCATTATAGGCATTCATCACTATGCCCAATTTATATGGTATCAGAACCTATGGTTTACCAGAACAGGGTAAGCTAAAAGACAGAGAGATTACCTTCATAGTTCTGAGGGGCAATGACAGACAGGTCAGAATCCATATCTAGCTAAATTACCTACCAAGTTGTACGAGTTGAATAGAAGGTTTTAGATATATGGGGTCTCAAAAGTTTGCCTTTCATGACTCCTTTCTTAAAGAGCTGGAAGATATGCTCGCCAAAACAAGGGTGTGAACCAAGAACAAAGAAAACATGAGTTCAGGAAACAGATTCCAACATAGGAAAAAGCAAAGGGAAGGCCTGATGATGTTAAGGGGACTCAGGTTGACAGTGAGTTCTGGCCTACAGATAACCAATCTGTACAATGACCATCACAGGCCCAGTGAGAACTATTCTCAAGAAGATTAAAAAAAACCAAAATCCCCCAAACAATGTTCTCTTTGTGAGTCAGAATTTCTCTATCTCATAAGCTGGTACTGAACTCACTATGCAGTATAAGCTTGTTTCAAACTTGCAGAAATTCTCCTGCCTCAGCCTCCTGAATACTGGAATGACATTGTACACCAGCACTCCCTGTAATAAAACCAATATGTTGCATAAAGTGTGCATGTGATGAAGAACAAGGCCTGGAAACAAAGACTTAGCTCTACTAGCTACAGAGACTAGCCAGGCTATTTTTGAACCAGTCCTAACTTTATGGATCTTCAGTTTTCTTTCTTTATAAAACTGGGACCTGATTCTGGGCTCTGTGGACATTTTGATTCTATAGCTCACTGTTTTCATAATACACTCGCTTAGGCACAATTTTGAACAAGCACTCAATGTGAAGAACTGACTGCTCCTTATACAAATAATGTTTTGTTTCTAATTGCAGGTACATACACGCTCCAGTTCATGATGGACAATCCTGCTGTCAAAGACCCTACAAAACAAGTCACTCAGCCCTTAGACAAGCACCTCACTGTTCCTAATTCCAGCATCTTCGTTATTGTATCTTACATCTTTGTGTTTCTGGTATACCCTCTGTCACAGTAATACTGGACCTTTCTTGGTGATTTCTTATCAAGGCCAGTTAAGTCCAGACCCTACTGACCTTTGCCCAGTTGCAACAGGCACCTTGGCTCTGCTCTAATTCTCCTCTCACCACCACCCCCTGCTGCATGCTGCTACCAAGCTGATGAAGACATTCCCAACTCCAGCTCTGCAGATGGAGGTTCTTCAAGCTGCTTTTGGAGGCTTGTGTCTTGCTGTTGCTTACATTCTCCTGCTACCTCTTGTCCAAGCCCATCCTTCCTTCTTCCCTCCCTTTGCTTCCGTTCTCTGCAAGGACTGTGCCTTTACTTCCCTGGACTGGAAATCCTCCCCGCAACATTATCCATCTCCAACCTGAATCTGTAAAACTCAGAGGTTGGAAACTTGTAGCTTTTAAGTTATTTGTGGAATTAGTTTACAGAAATATTTAGTATCTCTTACCCAATATTTTATTGATTGGCAAAAGTTAACATCAAATCCAGAATTTAGAACTTCTATAGAAAAGCAAATCAGGTCAGTCTCATTGGGGTTGGTACCCACAGCTGTCTCCTGGGTGTGGCTAGGTACTGCTGTTCATCACATCCTTACCAAAGCCTTTCATGCCCAGTCTGCCCCCTCATCTGACATAATAGGCTACTACAGGCTTTTGCATTGGAGACCCCTGATGAAAGTCATCTATTTTTCCAGATCTAATGTATTTTCTCAAAGCTCTGAGCCCAGCTGAAAATAATTATTTGGAAAGGCTTTTAGATTTATTATGTTATGGTACAGACAACAAATTTGTTCTTTTAAATCTAGTGTGCCTTATATATAGCAACCCTCAAATATTTAAGAAAACAAATTAAAAGTTCTTACTACAGAGGAAACCCACAGCCTTATGTTGTGTGAATAGAAGGGAAAAACTTTCCCATACAATCTGATCTTTGTGACTTGGATTGCTACACAAATAATCTAACAAATTTAGGCTGAGTAGTAAGGCTAATACCTGGACTTTTAGATATATGAAGGAAGAATCAGACTTTCCAAAGCTCTGTAATATTTTATATATAAGTATGACAGCATCCTGATTAAAAGCATATGTTTGGAATCAAGTTGCTCAGGCTCAAATTCTGGCTAACATTTAAAACCTGAGTGACTGGAGACAAGTTATTTAATCTTCATATATGTTGGCAATCTGAACTGTAAATGAGAATAAGAATTTATAAATCTCATATGTTTTACTGAGCCTTTGGACAGTTACAATCCTTTTTAGGAATATAGACATGAATTCACTGCCTCTCCTGGGAAGCATCTGGCTATTCTAACAAGACATTTAGAGGAAAGAATGAATTCTTGGTACGATATCTATAAATCACTGCCCAATAAAATACATTACAAAATTGCCCTTGAGAAAAGTCTTTTAGGTATGCTGCATGCAGTTTAGAGAAACAGGCACTAGCTGATGCTCTTAATCACTTCCAGAACATGTCCTTGTATTTTCTAAGACAAAGATACTATACTATTTCCAAGTAAACACAACTCTTTTGTTGAAAGATGACAATGTAAATTCATATTCCACTCTCACTGTTCTAAGTTTCAGCAGGTAAAGGACTTTTCAATGAATGATAACCCTCATGTATGTGTTTTGAATGGACAGTTCTAACACCACTACAAAGCCTTAGAAAACAAAATCTATTGTTTTGAGGTCATTTCCCAAACGGTTCTTATCATGAGGCCATGTTACATTCCACTTAACATACATAACTAGCCAGTTCTTCAGGTAAGTGTTCAGATCTCCCTGGTTGCCCTGAGAGGAAGGCTAGGATGTTACCATTAATGTAGGCACACTGGTTTTCCCTCAAGGTTCTTTCGGACTTCTTGATCATCTCATTGGATTTTTTGTCAGGCCAGGCAAACAACGTCTCCTTTAGATTTCCTTGCAGCATCTTCAGAAAGCAGTGGGAGTCCGTGTGGTCATGAATACTGCTATATATGCATAAGAGACAAGTGAACTCAACAGTTGCCCCAGTACCTCATCAGCTTAGAGCTGAAACTTACATACTGCCTAGAAGCTCTCAGGCGCCAATCCATTTCAACTGCTGGTTTTTAAAGATCATGTATCAATTTACAATTCATCATTATTCAGGGAACAATAATAACATATCATCCTTATCAAGGCATGTACTTTCATTGTGTGTGTGTGTGTGTATGTATGTATGTCTGTGTGTGTGTGTCTATTTGTTTTGAGGCAGGGTCTCACTGTGTAGCCCTGACTGGCCTGGAACTTACTAAGTAGACTGGCTGACCTCAAACTCACAGAAATCCACCTGCCTCTACCTCCTGAGGAACTAAAGGCATGGGCCACCATGCCTGGTTCAATTTTCAGTTTTGATGCAAACTCCTACTAGAGAGCTTTAATATTTTTAAAGGATTATAATAGTAATTTGATAACAAACCAGAAACCTTTCTTTTATTTCTCTACCAACAATAATTTTTTTTGTGGTCTTTTTTTTTTTTGTTGTTGTTGTTGTTGTTGTTAGATTTTTGCTTTTTTGAGACTGGGTCTAGCCAAGACTAACCTAGAACTTATGATCCTCCTGCTTCAGTTTTCTGAGTGCTAGGATTAGAGGTGTGCCACAATGTCAAAAAAGAAATGCATCTCTTAATAACTTACCTAAAATGACTTAGAATTTGATTATGAAAGTACATTAGAAGTGGAAGAGTGAGTGCTTAGTATATGAGGCCCTGGGTTCAGTCTCTAGAAATACACACACACACACACACACACACACACACACACACACACACTGCTAGAGAAAATAAAAGGAGTAAAGAAAATCATCTATAATAATTGCGTGCAGTAGAACCATTTACTGTTTTATTTCATGTTTTCTTCCCCTAGGCCTCTTCTCTTTTCTTCTTCTTGGGGGTAGCGAGAAGGTGTATATATGCATGTGTTACTATCCTAAAATTACAGTGCAAGGTATACAATGTTGCCATCTTACAGGTTTAGGGTAGCCTACCTGTAATTACCTCCCAGTATTGGTGGGAGAAAGAGGATGAGGTAGAAAGGATTTATTCATGTAAACTTACAGCAAATAGTATTTAGGTATATGAAGTAGTAATGGCTACAGGGCTGATTAAAGTATATAAACTTATATAAGTTTCAGTATTTATTTCATGTTGGAATTCTATTAATCTATATATGTACCATAAGAACTATTTCTTGAATCCAGAGGCCAACTCTCTCCCTGATAATCTGTTTTAAAAGTCTATAGAGAGAGGGGCTGGAGAGATGGCTCATCAGTAAAGAGTATCAGTTGCTTTTAGAGAGAACTCAGGTTCAGTTCCCAGCACCCACGTGGCAGCTAACAACCACCCATAACTCCAATTACAGGGGATCCAATGCACTCTTCTTACTTCCTCTGGTACTGCATGACACAGGTACACTTACTTACATGCAGGCAATACACTCATACACATAAAATAGTTTTTAAATAGTCTATAGAGAGAATGAATGACTGCTAACCCATTCCACAGGAGTAACTGCATGTAACCTCTAAATCTAACTTTAGGAAGACTTGTCATTTCATATTTCTTCTCTCTTCTTCTGGGTTATTGTTTTTACCCCAAACTGAGAAAGATCTGTTTGAAAAGATAATAAAGCTGGGTATAATGGCACACATCTTTAATCCTAGCATTAGGGAGGCAGAGGCAGGTGGAGTTCTGTGAGGCTGAGGCTAGCCTGGTATACACGGGAGTTCTGGGCTAGTTGGGGCTACAGGGAGACCCTGTCTAAAGCAACAACAAACAAATCACACAAAAAAATGATAATAGTCAGTTGTTAATAAAATGTACAGACCAAAGACAAGGAACCAATTTTTAAGGAATCAGTGTTAGTTTAAATGGCCTTCTAGGTAAAGAAGCTAAACAATTAACTAGGAGTAGAAAGAAATTTTCTCAATATGTGAAATGTTTTTCTAGTTCCAAATCTTGCTGGTTTGGTCTTTGGTCCTACAATTGTTTACACACCTCGAATATCACAAAGGTCAGGTTTAAGCACAGTTTCATAAACAGTTTAACTCCATAAAAGGCAGAGAAGTTAAATTAAGGTGTCTATTTGCCTCCTTTAACTTGATACTCATTTGGGGAACTGGTTTCAACAAACATGGTGGATGCCTCAGCCCCCTATGATAACTCACATAAGAAAATTTGTTGAGATAAGGGGACAATGTCAACAAACAATTCAAAATGTGAATTGTTACTCTTTGTAAAACTGGTGGCTAGCCTAGCACTATATACTTTTCATAGATTGGACGGACCCAGTACCTTGGAAGCCAGGCATGGTGGTGCACGCCTGTAGTCCCAGTACTTGGGAAGCAGAGGCAGGTGGATCTTTGTGAGTTCAAGGCCAGCCCGGTCTACATAGTGAATGAGTTCCAGGCCAGCTGGGGCTACAAGGAAACCCTGTTTGAAAAAGACCCAAAGAAAAGAAAAAAAATCTTGGGTAGGCTGGGATGTAGTTCAGTGCTAGAGGGTGAACCACTTGTTTAGTATGTGTGAGTCTCTAGTTTAGATTCCTAACCTACCACAAAATGTAGATTAAAAAAAAAAGAAAGGACTCCTGAGATTGGGGGTTCCAAGGGAGGAATGCTAAAATAAAACATTGGTGAATGAATTGTATTACCTGCCGTGTCCTTCACCCCAGCAAAGAATCATCAGATTGAATTTCCCATTTCCTTGATCCACAAGATTTCGAGTATACCTAAAAAAAACAAACATTCAGAAAGTGTGAATTTGATTACTGAAATAACTACTAGGAAAAAATAAATGTAACGAAGTGCCATTTGTTTTTATTATTATAAAAATAAGGAAAATGCAACAAAATGATCTTTCTACTTTTCAAAAACGTTCAAGGATAGATTTTGAGGCCGTAAGAGATCTTTAACCAAACACACTTTGTCTCACTACCAATAATTTATGCCCATTCTATAAAGTTAACATATATTCCTGAATTAAGATGTACAGCTCAGCTTTGTTCACATAACCATCTAAACTACTTAGCATCATCTTGTTTTCTATAACAAACAAATCACAAGCTACTTCAGTATGTATTTCTTGTTTTCTAAAACAAGAGGGCCATTATTTGTGGAAAGCAATACTTAGCCTCTATACTTCCCAGAAATGGCATATGCCATTCTAAAGCCTAGACACTCTCATGCTTTGAAAGTGGATTACCTAGCTTAATGTACGTAGAAGCATGAATCCCAGCCCCAAACTTTAGATGTTAACATTTCTACCTCTAAACAAGTTTGAATGTGGTTTTCTGATTAGATATCCAGAACAAATGAAAAATATTTTTCACAGTTGAGTTTTGACTTTTCTCTATTTTGTCTTTTTTTTTTTTCCTGGTCCTGGACGAATGAGGAGATCTTTCTGGTTTGTTTGTTTGTTTGAGATAGGATCTCATTATAGAGCGCTGGCTGGCCAGGAACTTGCTATGTAAGCCAGGTTGGCCTCCAAAACACAGAGCTTCACCTGCCTCTGCCTCCCAAGTCCTGGGATTAAAGACATTGGTCACCATGCCCAGACTCCTTCTGTATTTTTAATCACTGAATTTACTGAGGTAGTTGCTCAGTTTCAACTAGTAGCATAGAAAGATAACAAAAAAAATAAAAATTTCACATTTCTCCATATTTATCAGTCACAAACTGATAAAAAGTAACTTTCTCACAAAAAAGATTTGGAAAGCGAAGTATTAGTTACTCTAGGAGAGAGTGTTGCTATTGTTTTGGGCTCCCCCTTCACCCCCCTTGCTAAAGTAGGACTTGAGAAACAAGGTTTCATTAAAGAGCTGATCTAGAATTCTCCTTAGTCTTACTACTAAAGTCCAGACACAAACTACATTCAAAAGCACTCACAAGGAAAAGTTGTGCACAAATAAGTTGAAGGTTGAACTAAGTACCAGACAAAGGCTACATTAGGTCAGAATACTGAACCTTTTACTAGCAGAAGAAGGGTATATTGGCAGAAAAAAAAAATCAAAACCCAAACAAATATCCTAAGGGCACTACTACAATGGGCAGTGGCAAACCAACTTTAAAGGTGTTAATTGATTCAAATGGCACTGTTAGCATTTAACTTGCAAAGTCTGAAAATTCTGACATTCATTTTAGACTGCTGTTTCTAAGGTTAAGGAAAGGGATGTATACTTTTTTTGGTAATGTTTGCTCACTTGGTCATCTGTTAACTCATGTTCTCATGCTGCTTCCTTCCCTCCTGTCCTGTCCTTCCTCCCCTCCCCCAGGCTGCTTGCAGGACATGATTCTCCAGGGAGTTGTTAGGTATTATTCTTTTTAGCCATTCATCTTCCTTACATTTCAGCTCCTTGTGACCTAGCAAGGGGCTTTACACACAGCCTTTAAAGCACAGTAAACTGGATTCCTGTACAGTATCCTATTTCTCCAGAAAATTCACTGTTTGGGTATACTAGAACATATTGTGTAGTACATAAACTGCCTTGCCCCTGATCCCAGGATCATACACCAGAGTCCTTTGCACTAAAGACCAAATACTATAAAATTCATTTCTGCTCTCCCACCTCCCTCCCTCCTCATCCTCCCCATTGCTCACCCAGATTCTACCCAGGACTATACCTGGGTATAGGTAACCAAGCTGTGACTTGGATCAAGCAACTGGATTGGTTACATTTCAAAAGGCTTACTTCTCAATGAAGACTAATCCAGAGGCCCCTGGAAATGGTAGGGTTCTTGCCTAGGAGCTGTAACAGCTGGTTAACAGGAGCTGGTTAACTTCACTTGGCCAATGCTGTATCTAGCTAGGCATATTACTGTAATGGAAGAATTGTCATAGATCTAGAGGAAAGTACTCAGTGGTTTAGGGTTCAGCTTCTTAAACTGTGCACTGTATAATGGAATATGAGATCATGAAAAATTTGGAACAGTATAAGATTTCTGAATGTATAAGGACCAGAAATTAATTCCAAATCAAAGGCAATGCATAATAAATCAGTACCTGGCAGTGCTGGCCTGCGCTACATCATGTGGCTTCACAGCACTCTTGGTTCTTCTTTAAGACATTTTCATTACTGTGGGTAGGGTGTGTATGTTTCGGCATGTCCACACCATGCATTTGTGTGAAGGTCAGAGGACAACTCTGTGGTGTAGGCTCTTTCCTTTCACCCTTACGTGGGTTCCAGGGTCGTCAAGCTTGTATAGCAAGTGCTTTACATTCGGGCCATCCTGCTGGCTCCACTCTTGGTTCTGAACACACACGTGTACTTTGCAATGTGCAAGAACCAAGAGTGGCGCCATCAGTATCCCAGCTCAAATTGTGCACAAATGGATTTCTACATTTACAGAAACATAATGGTTTATGGAAAACAGACTTTTGATATTTCCCACACCATTCCTCAGCATGTATCCAATTAGTGTATCTTTGGATTGTATTGTGTTAGAGAATTTCTGTTTGAGGACTAATAAGATGACTCAGCAGGTAAAGCCCTTTCCCTGCAAGACTGAGGACCTGAGTTCAATCCCCAGAGCCCACGTAAAGGTAGAAGGAGAGAGCCAATGTGGGAAAAGTTGTCCTCTGACCTCCACATGGGTGGCCTGGCACAAGGGCGCCCCACCTCCAATAATAAATAAATAAATAAATTTTAAAATATTCTGTTTGAGTTGCTGACCCATTACACACACACACACACACACAAATGCTATATAGCCCTAAACATGCTTCTGCCATTTTATACTACATATTTATGTGAAGCAACATTTGCAGCATTGACAATTATAAAAATCACAATATTGATAAAATATTCAACTAACAGGACATCTGTCTCATTAGTACGCACATTTGATTTCATGTTTAATAAGTGATAAAATTATATTATGCTAAACAATTCTTTTAAAATAGATTTATGATTTGCTAGCAGTAATGCTTGATTTTGATACCTTTCCCCCAACACCATACCTGGTAAAAGTTTCAGGTCAAAAGGGGCTGCAAATGATGAAAGTTTAAAGGCAGCTTGGTTTAAGAGTGGCTCTGGAACAATAATGCTAAAACAGGCCCTGGGTAGGGTATCCAACTTTTCAGTTCTACATCATCTGTTTCACATTGGGTAAAGGGGCTGGAGGGAACACCCGACCCATAGCAAGGTCACAATTATCTGGAGCCAGCGCAAACAGAATTGAAGGACTAGACCTTTTGGTAGGTTTACTGGCAGCCACAGCAGGACCTGGCCAGGCTCTGAGTGGCCAGGATGAAAGGAAAATCCTAAAGCTGCATCCCAAATACAAACTGCCATCCTAACTTGCCCTATTTCCTATTTCAACTCCTAAAATATAGTTAAAACCATCCTTTTTGACAAAACTTCATTGTACAGCGACTTCCAAGGAAAAAATTCCATTTTGCTGTTCCTTTCTTCAGCCATCTCCCTCTCGGTGGCTTCCTGGCCTCCGGACCCAAAGCGCTGGCTGCCCTGCAGCACAGGGAGCCTCTCACTTTCCTGGTGATTAAATTTTACTTCTGGCCCCCCGGAGGCCTGACAATCTAGGCCTTAAGCTTGCTCTTACTCAATCACTAAGCTCTGCGTCAAAGGTCTCAGCCTACCGGGATACCTCACTCCTGCAGGTCCAGCTGGTCTGCGCAGGTCGGAAAGTAGCGGTCTTTAGTTTTAATACTGGTAAAAGGCCAAGGGTTCGCAAAACCTGACAGTGGATGAGCGAACCCTCAATTCTCAGCTGGGATGGTTAAAGTGGCTTGGAACAAGAATCTGAACGGCAGCAGCTGACAACACCCACACTGTGCCTGGTGGTAGAGGGGTCCCCCATTCCAGTCCGCGGGGGCGATGGCTGGGTGAGTGGAGTCGAGGGGCGGGGGTCAGTGTCCCCGAGGTTAGGGGTTGGAGGTGGAGGAGCGTTTGGAGAGAACAGAGGCTGCGAGCCTCGCGGGGGTTTCCCTGGCCGAGGGCGGGCTGTCCCCGGCAGCGGGACACCCTCTAAAGACGCAGGATAAGTCCGGGTGGGACCGCAAGCTCGCTCACCTGTACTGGTCGAACTTGGCATACAAAGCCCACTCGGCCGGGTCGCTCTCGTAGGCTTCCAATACCGCCTGCACTTCCTCAACATTGACCTCGTCGCGGGCGAAGAGCTGGTGCAGGATGCGGATGAGGTCGGCCAGGGTCCGCGGCTTCAGCAGCTCGGTCTGCTCCATCCCCGCGCGGGGCTGGCGCGCCTCTCCTGAGGATGCAAGCGCAGAAGCGGGCGGGGGACCCCGGCTGCAGGCTAGACCCGCACACTCGGGACCCCGAGACGCCTGGGGACAAAGCACAGAAAGCTCTCGCAAGGGTATCACGATCCGCGGCGTCCGCGGAGAGGCGGGTCTAGGAGTCTCAGGAGCGCAGAGCGGAGGCCAAGTCAAGACCAAAGCTGCGGAATTCGCCCTCCCGGGCCCTTTTTAAGCTCTTGGAGTCGATCGGAATGTACCAATGGCCGTCAGGGGGTGGAGTGAGGGGGGGAAGGGAGCCGAGAAAGGGGCCGGAGGCAGGGAGAGTGTGTGGGTAAGGCCCTGGCTTGCGCCCCGGCTCCTACCGCGCTCCCAGCCCTCTCCCGAGCCGCTGGTGCGTCCTGGTCCCTAGGCCAGCGGTGAGCGGCACGCCCTCTCCCCAGCCTTAGCTGAGAGTTCTGGCCGACCATCTCATCCCTTCTCTCGGCCTCCACCTCCAAGAGCACGTTGCACAATGTGTGTGCGTAGACAACTCAGAAAGGTTTAGACCTTGGGGGCGCGCACGCGCGCGCGGGGGGGATGCTGAGGAAGGTGATGGAAACGGAACCCTTCTAAATGCAGCTAAAGTTCCTGCAACGATCAAAGAGTGAATGTTTTTAGAATGGAAAAGTAGCTAAAAGCTCCAGGCTAGGTGAAAATGAATTAAAAAAAAAATTAAAGTGCACAGTATTACAGTATTTTGTGAGTGAATTTTAACAAAGGAGACTCGGGTTTCTAGTCAGAGTGGTGACATGGCCATGTGTTCCACTGATGTTAAACACTGACTGATAACATCTAGCACAAAGAGCCCAAGGTTCCAAATGGGCAGCGACAATCGATTTTGTTGGGACCGGCAGGGGTGTGTGTGTGTGTGCAATTATGCCTTCATTTAAATGATTCTAATTATGAGGCTGGAGAGATGGCTCAGGTGTTAAGGACACTGGCTGCTCTAGCTGAGGATCAGGTTTGATTCTCAGCAAACCTGACAGCTAACAGCCAGCTGTAACTCCAGTTCCAGGGATCCATTGCCCTTTTGACCTCTACCGGCATTGCATGAAATGGGTGCACTTACATACTCGCAGGCAACACTCAGGCATATAAAATAGAAATAAAAAAACTGAAAAAAAAGATTCTAATTAAATGATTTTACTATTTCAACTCTGGGCCAATGATTGAAGGTGCCTTCCGCACATAAAAAACCTTTCTACCCTATGGCATCCAGTATGCAATGGGAACAGCACACGTTAAGCACAGATAAAAAGAAAACCAAAGCAGACACATTCTAGAGAAATAATTTGATTAAGGTGTAACATTCTAGAAGCCTTTTTTTACCCCACTTTTACATGTGCCTCATTCCCAAATACATTAAATGAAATCTACACTGGATATGGTGGCCGCATGCCCTTAATTCCAACATACTGGAGGCAGGGGCACCTGTCTGTGAGTTCCAGGCCAGCCTGGTCTACATAGCAAGTTCCAGATCAGCCAGGTCTACGTAGTGAGATCCTGTATTTAAAAAAATAAACAACCCTCCTCCCAAACACCAGTCCAACCAAATCCATCACCACCACCAAAATGAAATTTACTTGGGCCACAGTTTTATTTTAAATATCCCTGGCTCATGTTATCACACAAGTAGTCTGACAGTGTTAAAATAAAGTTGGGCATGGTGTTGCATGCCTTTAATCTCAGCACTTGGGAGGCAGAGGCAGGCAGATCTCTGTGAATTCAAGGCCAGCCTGGTCTACATTGTGAGTCCCAGGCCAAGCTGGCCTTACAGGGAGACCCTGTCTCAAAAAGACTGAAAAAAAAAAAAAAAAAGGAAGAATACAGTGCAAATCACCAATCACTACTGTAGGGACACAAGGCAGGTAGGCAGGTGTGGTGGTTCAAATCTGTAATCCTAATATTTGGGAGACTGAAGCAGGGGGCTGTTGTCTGTGGGCAGTCTGGACTCAAAGGAAAACATTAACAATAATTAAGTTTTGAGTAAGCAATGAAAACTACCCCTTAACCTGATCCCATATTCTTTGTTACCAGTCACCTTTCAGAAAACATACCGCAAAGGTGATTTCTACAGACTATCCTTTGTGTTTTTGTTTTGTTTTGTGAGACAGAGTCATTCAGCTATTACAATCTGAATGAAAAAAAGCGGAACATACAAAGAATGATGGGATTTGGCTTGGGGGGTGCAGAAGAGGGCAAAAAAATAGGTGGTTCTTAAATGGATAGTCGGGGTGTGCAGTTAGAGCTGGTTTGGCAGATGAGCTAAGCAGCTAGGATGGATCTGCAGTTCAAGAGAGCTCAGGAAAGGGGTGGGGAACATGCTTTGTGAGTCTTGACAATGCAACTGGAAACCCACAAAAGAGGCAGGGAGGCTGATTGGTATTTGTAAGACAGTTCTGTAATACGAAGACCCATTTCAAATTGGACAGGGCTTCCCTTGTGACTTACTAGAAGTAACCACACAGGGTATCCCTTTATCTATGATGCAAAAGACCTTTGAGAGTCACTGAAATTCTTCTAAGGTTCTCCTCATATTCACACATGCTTTATCTTTCAGTCACTGATAGAAGAAAACATAAAGCTAGTGTAACAAAGTTTTACTTTGTATTATTTCTCAAAAAAAAAAAAAAAAGAAAGAAAAAACAAAACCCTCATGACATACCCAAATAGGAAAACCTATCTTACCTACTCCATTAGTCTTATTTAAGTGCTGAAGCCAGCAGGCACATACAAGGATTTTTGGATTCTGCCAGTCCCCTAAAAAACTGAAGTACCAATCCATATTCCACGACAAAACCTATTTCTCCACTTTGTCAAAATTTGTTTTTACTTAGAGTGATAACCAGCACCTGAAGTTTTATTCAGATTTTTATTTTCATTAATTTTTAAATTTTATGTGTATAAGTATTTTGCCTGCAAGTACGTTAAGTGCACCTGTGTTGTACAATATCCGAAGAGGCCAGAGTGTCAGATCCCCTGAAACTGGAGTTACAGTTGTTAGCTGCCATGTGGGTCCTGGGAATCGAACCCAGGTCCTCTGCAAGAGCAGATAGTGCTTTTAACCACTGAGCCATCTCTCCAGCCCCTAGATTTTTATTAACTGAAGTTTTTTCATACTTTTATTGCTCACTTTTTACTTTTCAATCATTTGGAGTGTTGCTGGGGATAAATCCCAGGACTCTACCACTGAGCCACAACCCTTGTCTGTTTTTTTTTTGGGGGGGGGGATCACTTTTGTTTTGCCTTATCAGCTGTAACAAATTAATGTATTAAAATCATTAAAGCTCAGTGGGCACAGTGTGCATCCCTCTAATCCCAGCACTTGGGAGGTAGAAGCAGACAATTCTCTGTAAGCTAGAAGCCAGTCTGGTCTGCATAGTGTGGGGCTACAGGGAGACCCATTTATTTTTCCACTACTTTCTGTGGTATAAAAATTATAGATTTCCTTCTTTGTTGCATTCCAAGTTAAATTATATTTTGTTAATCACACTTAATTTCAGTCACTAAAATTCCATTTTCAGGCTTCACAATCATGGAGTGATGGTACTTATGTGCCTCTGAGGCCGCATGCAGGCAGGTAAGGGCTGTCGTAGTGGTTGGTTGTTTGCTGTTAAGTGTTCTTATGAGGGCACCTCCTTGAGTAGTTTGGTTAGACTTTAAGGAAGCATTTCAAATCTGAAGGAGAATCAGGGTTTGGAGTGAAGGTGGGCAACTGCATGAACAGATGTAGGAAACAAAAACATAAAGTCAATGGAGGGGCTGAATAATCCAGTCCAGGCTACAGAGTGCTGTAGGGAAATAGTATTTATAAGGCAAAACAGGAAGTTCTCTCATGCCTCCCGTCATTACATGGCCTGCAGCTGGATTTCATAGTGCCAAAAGCTCACCAGACACATTATAATACTTGGAAAATGAAGCAGCGCTCCATGAAAAGCCATTTGTATCTCATACTCCTTGGACAAATTTCTCTACTGTGGGTTGCACTTAAGTCCACTGGTTGGCTAATGTCATGCAATCTGAGGCTTAACACAATTTCTAGTTTTCTCATCTGGCTAGAGAACAAGACACTTAAGACTCCCTTAAGGGTTAAAACTTCTAGAGTCAGATGCCAGGAAGTATCTAATCTTTTGATTAGAGATAAAACACTCTTAATTTACCTTATGCCCTAAATACTAAAAATCTCTTTATGAAATCCTTGGCATAAATGTAGAGTGCTATATTCTACCTATGTCACATATCCATTGGGGGACATCTTTGCACAGCAAGATAAGCATGCCATTACTGACATCTTTTCATACACATGCAAACTGAAATAGAAACTGATGGTTTCAATTACTTTTCCTCCTAAATTTTAATCATACTTCAAATACCTTAAATTGTCTAGATATCCCCTAACTTACAGGCTCCAGGCTTACAAGTAAATGTTGTAATGTCAGCACAGAAAGACTATTCAGGCAGAGCCCATGTAAAACAGATTGAAAAAGTATAAAGCCCTACATATTCCTCAAGGCTATTAGGGGAAGAAAACAAAGTATACATATTTAGGTAACTTTTGATTTAATAGGCTATTAAGTTATTTAGATTAAAATATGTTACAAATTCAAACTCAAGTATTTTTGGTTGGGTAGAGGTAGTAAACAGTCTTGTTATCTGGAACACTAACAAACATTAAATGCAGTGCATTTCTCTGTTAAATATCTATGTACACATGTTCCAGTAACCTCTAAGTGGGCAAAGCTACACTAGATCTTTCCCATATGCAAATCATCCTGCTTAACACTTCACAGCTTTCTTTCCCAGTCTTTTACTTTGTATATTCACTGTCAGTGTAATTGCACTATTACCTGCCTTAATTTATTCCAAAGGGTTACTGGTAAAAGAGAAATCAAGAACTCTCATTCTTAGGCAGGAATAGAGAACTGAGCAGCAATTTCCTTACTGTAAATTATTACACAGGCTCTTCTAATGCTAACATGTGGGTGAATACTAGCCATAAAACTTACTCTAGGACTTAAGAGTTAAAAATGAGCCAGCTGCAGTCCTGCACAACCGTAATCCTAGCACTCAGGAGCCTGAGGCAGATTAGTCAGTAGTTCCTGCTAAGCCTGAGTGACACAAAAACCCTGCCTCAAAATCAAAACAAAACAGTGTAGTTCTAGGCTTTAATTTTTTTTTAATTAAAAAAATAAATTTCTGCCATTACTTTTGAAAATAAACACTTGGAATTCTTATATACCCTCAAATCCTTGTTAGACATTCCATTCAATTTATTGGAATGTTTTGAGGGGGACAAGGAAGGGTTAATTTTCTTGTTTTGACCAGTCTCACAATGTAGCGCATACTGGCCTTGAAAATTTGAGATGTTCATGTCTTAGCTTGTGTGTGCACCACCATGCCTGGTTCCCAATGGAGTAACAAATGTTATGCAGAGGAAGTTAAATCTCACTTTGAACAATGGCCAGTCTAACATCGACAAAAATAAGTCTTTTTTTAGTGATGCAAATACACATAAAATTGGAGGCTATTTTTTTAACTATTATCTTTGAATGCTTTCAACTTGAAAAATACCTTGATAAACATTCAACGAGAGCTGGAGATGCAGGTCAGCAGAGCACCTGCCTAACATGTACAAGACATTGGGTTTGATCCCCAGCCCTGCAAAAATAAACTAAAAATTACACAAACAGAGCTCAGAATCGAGGGTTTGGGATGAATTTCAGAATACTCAATGTTGTTGACAGGTTTACTAAGTGATTCTTTTGACATAGCATAAGAGACAGTCACACTACATTGGATGGGGACTCAAACTTTGAGATAAATTCTCTTGTAGCTAAGTCTGGTTTTGAACTCCTGACCTCTCTGTTCCAGCCTCCTAAGTGCTGGGATTACAGGTGTGCATCATAGTGCCCAGGCTGAAGTTCAGAATCATAAATGACAGGACTGAAAGAATTATGACTTATTTGCTCAGAATTTTTAAAACTGTTTCCCAAAATAATTTAAATTATGCATATTCTCCGAAAGTCTTCTAATTAACATAGTTGCTCTCCTGAGTACATATTAATTAGAAATTAACTTGAACAGCCTTTCTCCCTATAATCACCTGGCAAAGCTATAAGACAAAACTGTCAAAACCTTACTGCCAACTGGGCTGCCCTCTACTGGACTACTTAAGATATTTAGACAAGTCAATGCAATTTGGCTTTACAAAGCAATACAGTAGATAAAATGTAAGCATTCCATATTCCCAACAGAGGTTCCCCAAATAAAACCCTCAAACTCTTTAGAAAATTAACTTTTTACCATAGAATCAACACAGTGCCAATTCTACACATAAACAATTTCAGTCATTGTGAGAACCACAATAAAAGAATTCCAGGCCCCTTTCTAAACTTGGCAGCAGGTCTGAAAAAATAGTAATGGGTAGGGGCAATGGACACACATTCTCATGTCAGTCTTTTATGATGACTGGTACAGTAACAAATCTCATTTTTCGGTCCATTCACTCATGGATATTTTCTTATACATAAAGAGAAGTCACAGGAGAGTCATTCTGATTAGCTGATATCCATTAAGTCTCTTGCCACAGCATCAAAACTTTTCCAAGCTTTTCCTCTGTGAAAATATCAAGTTGTTGCAAGTTGTTTATCTCTGTGGCTCATCCCCATGCTTGAGATTTGCAGTAATGTAGGACCAGTTTACCATCACTACCAAAACACTACAAAAACAACAAAAAAAGGCAACAAATTAGACTAAAGTTTCATTAGATAAAGAAAAAGTTGCATGCTCTGTAATATCCTTTTTTAACAAGATGCCTATTTCTAGCACATTTAACAATCATTAATGTTCAACAAAAACAGAGTATCTTGGGTACGGGCTTCAATATTCATCTTGACTCCATTGAATCCCTGATCATAAGGTATTTTTGGCTCTTTCTGAGCAGAGCTAGTCTACATACAACTACTGTCATGAGGCTGCCATGAAAAGGCAAGAAGGTTAAGTGATGTCATTCTACTGTAGGCTTCTCAATTTCCTGGAGTCAAATCACAATTACAGATGGTAATGAACAATGCAGGGGTAGAGAATATAGAAAATTTCTGAGAATATAAACAAAAGATGGCTTTTAAATACAACAGTCCTTGATTCTTTAATCATAATTAAGATCTTCCTATGTTCAAGGTTACTAATGAACATGATTATCTTTTCTCCCACTGAATTAAGACTGGCATACTCTTAAAGGTGTGAGTCAATAATCCATACTATATAATACAACTAATATACAGATTTTACATACTCCATCAAGGGGGGAGTTACTTACCTCATAGAGAGTTCCAACTTCTTGGTCTGGGGAGGGGGCAAAGGATTGATTCACATAAATAAACTACAGGAAATAAAAAAAAAGGAGATTCATTTTTAATGGCATTGTGATTAACTCATATTCATCTAGGTTCCAACTGAGCTATTCCTAGTTATTCTAAAACAAAGAGATCTTCATGAAGATCACATTTTTTCTTTAAATAATCTTTTAATAATCTTTGATCTTTAAAACAGAAGCTACCAGTCTTTTTCTTCTCTCTCTCTCTCTCTCTGTGTGTGTGTGTGTGTGTGTGTGTGTGTGTGTGTGTGTGTGTATTAACCTCAGAGTCTGGGCTACGTGTGCTTTTGTGTGTGTGTCTGCATCAGTGTGTCTGTGTGTCTCAGTGTGTGTCTACTTGTCTATGTGTATCTGTATGTGTGTATCTGTATTTGAGGGAACTTCCTACGTAGATCAGGGTGACTTCAAAATCAGAGATCCACTTGCCTCTGCCTTCCAAGTGCTGGAACTAAAGAGCGCTGTGTTATCAAGCCTGGCCTTGCTCAAAGGCTTTTGTAACTAAGAAACTTATTTAAATGAGAGAGAGAGAGAGAGAGAGACAGAGACACACACACACACACAGAGAGAGAGAGAGAGACACACAGAGACAGAGAGAGAGAGAGAGAGAGAGAGAGAGAGAGAGAGAGAGAGAGGAGAGGTGTACACTCTCTGGCATTCCAGAGGAAGTTGGATGTCTCCCTTAACTGCTCTCCACCATATTTTTTGAGGCACGGCCTCTCACTTGAGCCTGGAGCTCACTCACTGACTAGGCTGGCCAGTCAACATGCTCCAGGATCTATGGGTCTCCACCCAGGCACTGGGGTTACAGATGTATGCACAGGCCCTTGCCTTCACCAGGGATCTGAACTCAGATTCTCATGCTTGTGGGCTGGCAGGCACTTTACTGAGCCACAGCCCCAGAAAAATACATTTTAAGTAATTTTTACAAATAGTTTTTCAAAGGCTATTTAAAAAAAAAACCTGCAGCATTAAAAAACAAAAAATTGTACTGAGTGTGGCAGCTCACATCTATAATTCCAGCACTGGGGCAGTGGGGGAGATACAGTCTGGGTTATAGAGTGAGGCTATCTCAAAAGAAGAAAAAAACCCCACTGAATCACAATAAAAGATAGAATTTCTAATTATTTCAGACATGCAAGCAACAATGAACACACCTAATACTGAAGAGAGTCTGAGCACTTTTCCTGGGTCTGTTACATATATGATTCGATTTTTTTTTTTTTAACCTTTACTTCTTTTGAAA